GCTCCACACCCGAAAGAAAAAAGCTGTGTTTGCTATCGATGATTTACAGTAACTGCCCCCTACACTAAAAAACTGTGTCTGCTATTATTTAGAATAAAGCACTTTAATAGCATTGTGCATGGTACATTCATGGCTTGCATTTATTTTTTAAAAGAAGAAATGTAAGCTTAACTGCTTTTGTTCTGATCAAAGGAAGAGTGAACGCTAAATTAAGACTATTTAAAACCCCTCTAATTCCAGGAAACTATCCCAAATCACAGGTATCTAGCCAATTAAAAGTAGCTAGAAAAACAAGTACAAGAATATAGCGCATACACACTGATGAGTTCTTTGGATACGTATTTCTCGGTTAAGAGTCAGAATTTGATCCTTTAGAATTTAAAACGGACACACCGGAGCGATGGCTCTGGGGTGAAGAGCACAGGCTACACTTTCAGAGGAAGCAGTTTAGATTCCCAGCACATACACGGTGGCTCACAACCACCTGTAACTCCAGTTCCACAGGATCCAACACCCTCTTCTGGCCTCTTCAGGCATGAATGCGCATACATTCGGGCAAAACATCCATACACACAAAGTAAATAAGAAAGGGAGTGTAGCCAGGCGGTGGTGGCGCACGCCTTTAATCCTAGCACTCGGGAGGCAGAGGCAGGCGGATCTCTGCGAGTTCGAGGCTGGGCTGGACCGATAGCCTCCGAAACAATACAGAGAAACCCTGTCTCGTAAAACTGAAAAAAAAAAAAAAAGAAAGAAAGAAAGGGAGTGTAAGGTTTGGGGTCGGGTCTTGTGGCACATATCCACAACCCCAACATTCAGGAGGTGAACTCAGGAGCGATGACAAGCGTGAGGCCCAGCATGGGACATCTCAAAAGCAATAAAAGGAAAAAGGCTGGGAACAAAACACAAGCCAGGGACTGAATTGTAGAACGCTCGCTCAGCACGCCCGACAGTCCTTGTGCTCAGCCCCCAACAAAACAACAGCAACCCCTTAAACTTGACAAACAGAAGGCATATGCTTGCTCAGAGGTATTCTGGAAGCCTCTGCACAAAGAGCCAGTGTGCTCTAAAGCGGGGGAGGTGCTGCTCGCTTGCCTTCACTCTCTTCCTACATTTGAGGAAGCTCTCAGAATGAGCACGGCCTGGAGAGTCACTAAAGTCAGAGAGACAAGGAAAGAAACTGGTGGGAACCAGGGGGGTATCTGTAAGGGCAGCGGAGAGTCTAGACAGGTAGACAGCGAAAGGAATAACAAGTCTGGAGACAGACACAAAAGCAGTCTTAGAACTGGTGCCGAGGGCTGTGGACTGCAATGGTTATGTGAGAATTTGTCCTGTTCTTAGGAAGCATTCTGGGGACTACAGAGAGCTTCACCTACTCTTGACATTCTCAAATGGCTCAGGGAACCCATATATAGACATACACACACATATATAATGGAGGAAGTAAGAGAGAGGAGGAAGGAGGGATGGGGGAGGGGGAGGGAGAGAACATAACAAAACGCAGAGAGCTGGTAAATCTGAATGATGCATCCATGGAAATGTTCACTAAGATAATCTTTACAAATTTGCCCTTAGGTTTGAAGTCATTTCCAAGTAAAGGCACGGGTTCCAAGTTTGGGAATAGTAAGACATTCTTTCAACAAGCCACTCTACAAAAATCCCTTAAGAAAATTCAGAGAGCACTGCATCTAAATTTTCCAGTCACTCATTCAGCCACAGGCTTCAGTTTATCCCCATGGAAACAAAGGAAGTTACCATGCTACACCTCCTGATGTAGGATCTACCCAACAGATACAACTGGATTAATCACGAGGAAACACCCACAAGGCACTGAAGAGGATAGTCTGAAACTGACCTGGACCATTAGAAAATAAAACGTCAAAGGCTCTCAAGACAGAGAAAAAGAGGCATAGTAAGGATATAGAACACATGTCTTAGATTGAGGAAAAACTAGCTACCAGGGGTGTGATATTGACAACATGGAGAATATTTTAAGTACGAATATGATGAGGGACACTACACTACTATAGTAGTGTTAAGAAATCCCTGGATGGTAGTGCCAGTGTGGTCACACACAGTGACCAGAATTCTCTGCTTTTTGTGCAAGCACTGAGAGGTAGGTGTGATCCGACAAGTTATCTCAGATTGTTGAGGGTGTCTAGAAACAACCGAGATCCTAGGTTGCGCAGTCAGAACATGCCTGCCTGCAGGAATTATGACCTCTGTTGCTCTTCAAACATACCTTTCCCAGAATGCTGATAGCACACGCCATTCCGACTTGTCCGACACCTACTACGGTAATCTTGTTGTTGGGGAGGGTTGTTTCCTCTTCCGCCACGGGGGCAATGAGTTTTTCCTTAAGGGTTGCCATGTTGCCCTACAAGAAAAGGGTGATCAGTACATTATTTTAAATGAGTAGACTCTGTGTGAGAATCAACCTAAAATGACACAGCTTCAGTCCCAAAGAGAAGTGTAGCACAGCCAGCGCCTCGGGGTAGTCTGAGTACAGTATTTGAGGGAACCACATATCACTTAATGGAGGATTTAATCAGAGGAACTTTCTCCAGGAGCTTAAAATAAAAATTCTTCCCTGAGTAGAGGACTCCATGAAGTTGTCATCATCACTCCTATGACCTCTGTTGTTGTTATAACTGTTCATTACTGGCTAAAGGATGGGGGTATTTATACTTAAAATAAGCTAGTTTCTTCCCTTTGTCCCTGTAAGGAATTTGTGCCACCATGTTAACCAGCTAGCTTATAGTCAAGCTTTCTTAAAGTCAATGTAAATGATTATAATTTCCATTACAAATGGTTCCGTTTACCCCTGGAGGACAAAGACTTGAGTTTTGCACTTTAAATCTCACCAAGCAGACTGAGCTGCCTGCCCGCCTTGTTACAGGTTCCTTCTTCCCAATGAAGTACCAGACTTAGTCATCTATGCTGATTGTTTGAGCCTGTTCCTTTTTAGCTTATCAGCTGAGGCTCCCTCCCTCTTCACAGCCCATCCTGCTCTTTCTACAGCCAGCTCTTCACTTCTGACCTGGGAAGGGCTAAGTGACAAAACCTATCTTAGTTGGCTGCGTGGAGAAGAACCCTTGGCTGTCCTGAATGAAGAACCTGGGGTCAAACACAACCTTTTCCTTCCCTAACTTGTTTTTGCTAGTTTAAACCTTTCCCCCAATCTGTCCCGCTGAGGTTATTTTGCCTTCGAGAACCACTCCCGTGGCTTTCTGGTGGACACAAAGGTGAAATGCCTCTGAGAGGCTTGGACACAGCCCGGACCTTACAGTGAATTCAGACAGAGCCGGCATTGTACTCGGCTTCAACAGACTGGCTGCCCTTCAGTAAGAAAAGCACAGCCTCCCTAGCCCCTGCCCACACCAAGTTTATTTTTGTTAGCTGGCTTAACATCTGTGAGGTAGGTTCCAGAAAGCATTAGGAAGGCCTGGAATCCCAGCGTTTTGGAAGTGTGGGCAAGGAGGATCAGGGGAGGTCAAGGTCATCCTCCAACACACATCTTGGGACTCCTGAGATGCTGCCTGAAAGCAAGCAAAGAAACAAACAAAAAAGCAGGAAAGGAAAGCAGAAGCGGTGGCTAGCTCCAGCTGGGTTGTCCTGGAAACATTTTAAATTAGTTTGGGTAATTTCAAAAGCCACACTGTTGAAGATCCAGTAAGCACAGGCAGATTCTGATTATCTAGACAAAAGTACACATTCTCCTCCCCCAGTGGTGGTAAAAATGAGAAGGAAACATTTTGCATTGTAACAGGCCTGTGTCAAATCAGACAGCTGACTGTAGGGAGAGAGAAGTGGGGGGGACATCCGAGTCTCAGGGTCCCCCCCCCCATTCCCTTCTCCTGTAGATATGAAGCATTAGACAAGATCAGGTGCACTACGCCAGGGGGCTGACGTCCACTGCGCAGGGTATCTTCTATGCAAACTGTAAAAGCCCAGGTTTTGTCTCGAATTCCCTCACTCAAACAAGCTAGCTCTCCCACCCCAGGTCCTGATGGGGGCCCACAAGCCACCTCTCCTGTGAAAAGTAGGTCACGAGGGAGGGAGGCAGCAGCGTACATCTTGAATAAAGTCTCCGGGGGCAAGTCTAGGCCTTCCACCATGAACACAAGCAGTAAACAAAACCTTAGAGCATCCAAGAGGCCCAGCAAGCGCTGGTACCCGGCTGCAGGGCGGGCAGTCTGAGCCGGAGATGAACCTGACTTCCAGGACAGAACTTTGCCTTGTCCCCATTCTTAGAATCGCAGGGACCTTTTTCCATCACCAGGGGCAAGACCTGCCAACCTTCACAGGACTCCCGCAGGATTCCCTGGCACCTACGTGCGCGTATCCCCCAGCAGGTGGGTGATATGCCCATCACCTGCCGACCAAGGCCTTGATGGGGCAGGTTGATTTACACCTGCACAAGTGTCTCCCATGATAGCACACAGGCCTGAGACCGGCCTGCAGGACGCAGACCGATCCCGGAGTCCAGCCTCAGCCTCCTGCCCATCTCTGCTCCCAGGGCTGGCCGCCCCAAACCGCGAAGAAGCAACAAGCTGGAGCCGGGATGCTCGGGGGTGAAGGCCCCAGAGCGTGGATGTGTCGTAGCTCCTTCCTGTTGTTCCGTCAAACAACTACCCCTCTTCAATCCCTACCCCCAACACACACCCTGTTGTTGTGTGAGTCAGGCTTTGGGGTCCTGGACTCAAACCTACCGGAAAAGAGGGAGCTCTGCAGGGCTGAGAAGGGAAACCGCCGCAAAGTCAGCAGACTGCACAGCCGACCCTGGATCTGCAAGGAGGAGGCGGCGGAGGAGGCGGGGCCCGCCGTCCTCCAGCCTCCTAGCTTTCTCTATTGTGATTGGAAACCCGAGCCGGGTCTACCCCTCCCCTCGGCTCGCTCAATCCCCTTCAAGGACAAGGCTGGAGTAAGCACACGCTCTCCCCCCGCTCTCTGAAGTTGGAGGTCACCTTCCGGCAGCCGCGGTATCTTGCAGCATGAGGGCTGGCCCTCGCGGTGGTAGTTGTCGCCTAAACCTGCCTTTCAAGCCCTTCTGGACCGTCCCCATCTTGCGCAAATAGAAATCTATGTCTAGACTGCACTTGGACTCAGGTTTAGACCAGTCTCCTCGGTTAAGATGCTGCTGGTCCATCCCTCAGAAAGGACTGGGTGATCCTGAACTCTCAGAGCTTGCATCAGAGCAGGGTCTTGCAGGTGCCTGTAAAATCCCAGCACTGCGGATGCTGAGTCGAGAGGGAAGCCAGGAGTTGGAGACTAGGCTAGGCTGCCTTGTTAAGATTGTTTCAAACAAACAAAAGCAAAATAAAAATAGGAGAAAACTAAGTATCCTTTTCAAGTTCCATCTACAAGACAATGACCTCCCTTCTCCCCACACGTAATAAAACTAATGGCTGAGGAACAAAATCAAGGTGGGGGGGCTGGTATCTGCCCTTCACAGATCCACCACAAAACTGCAAGGTTCCATGTGAGGGCCTGGCCCCTATAGGGAGAAAATAGGGACCCTAAGTCAGATGTATTTCTCTAGGAGTCACTGAGCTGGTACTGTGTGTGTGTGTGTGTGTGTGTGTGTGTGTGTGTGTGTATTGTAGTGTTGGGATGGAACTCAGGCGCTCACTACATTTTACTGGAGAGTTGCAGCCCCCCAGTCCTGTAATTCTGCCTTCCCACAGCCTCGGCTCTCTGCCTCACCCAGAGCAGAGCCTGATTCCTTACTCCTGCCTGGATTAAGCAATCAGAGGTGTTCCGAAGATTCAGGGCGCAGTCGTGTTTTCTTATGATATAACTGTTTCCCCACCTAGTAATCTTACTGACTCTGATGTGTGAGAATTTGCCCCTTTTTTTCCTCTAAGTGTACAGATGCTGTCAATGACTGCGAATTCTATAAATAGAACTCTCCTCTGCCAAGCATGGAAGATGTAAGAATATAACCGTGTTCATAGGGTGCTTCTAGTCCCAGTTTTACTGAAAATTCAGAGGCCACCTGGGTGGAGGTATCACATCACTGGAGAATAGAAGGAGTAGGGTCTGAACCCAAGCAGTGAGAAAGAATGGCATCGCCAGGAGCTGATGGATAAGTGGGAAGATGGAAAGACCACGCCTTTTCAGCTGGAAGATAAATACTTGCCAAACATCTAGGCCACAAGGGCTGAAGAAGTTAATGTACCAGGGAGGGAGATGGGTTATAAAATTGGATACAAATGTAAAAAAGAAAAATTGTCAGAAGAGAAGTTGGGCTTTTCCTCTCTAAAAGTGTGTACTTTGCTGTGTGAGCAATGCTGCTGCTTCAGGAACCAAGACACACGAGACAAGATGCCTGCTAATGAATTGTGTTCTGATGCCTGCTAATGAATTGTGTTCTGATGCCAGCTAGTGGATTGTGTACTACGCTAACAGAAGCTGACAGGCATAAACAAGTGAGTAAATAGGAGACGAAGAACGTGATCACAAGCGGGCACACACCTTTAGCCCCAGAATTCAGGAGGCAAAGACAGGCAGATCTCCGAGTTCAAGGTCAGTCTTGTCTACAGGGTAAGTTCTGGGACACCCAGGCCTACACAGAGAAACTCTGTGCTCCCCTCCTCCACCCCACCCAAAAGAATGAGATCATGGTGCAGCTCCTCAGAGCCCTGTGAGCAGGGTTCATGAAGTTCAGGGATGAAGCCTGGAGTGGACGGCGGAAGGGTGGAGGGCACTAACCTGTGCAGCAAACTCCTGTGGGGTATGTGTGTGTGTGTGTGTGTGTGTGTTTCCTCGTGTGTCTTAAAAAGGTTGTCTCCCCTTGTCAGGGTGTCATGTTTTAGAGCCAAGACAACTGAACTATGGAACAAAAGAGCTTTGAAGACCATCTAATCCAGTATATGCTCAGCATACATAGCTGGTCCATACTAGCTGCCGCTTATCCTTATTGTGTAGGTAAAAGTGTGGGAGCTAAACCAGTCCTCACTGAAATACACAGTGGAGTCATGGTTACCAGAGCCTGAGCGTTTTTGGGAAAAAATGAAACTTTATTTTGTTTTGTTGTCTCACTTGTGGGGCTGGCGTTGGAACCCAGGGTTTTCCACATGCTAGACTGTGGACCCAAGTTCTCTTAAAAGCAGCCATCTCCACTCTTTGAAACAACTGTGGCTATGGGCAGGAAACCTTGGGGACAACAAGGATAGCCTTTTGACCTGTCACCTCAAAGGAGCGGGGTGGGGGTGGGGGTGGGTAGCCTTATTAGACTCTCATCTGATGCCTCAGCACGCACTCCCTCCCAGCTGTAGTGAATTCTGTTACATATGCACGTAGTCTTAGGAAGGGTAAATGAAGGAGAGACTCCATGCCTCTGGAAGGAGATCCTTACTCTTGTGGGTGTGAGGCTTCTCAGAGGTGCAGTTGTGTGTGTGTGGAGGGGTAACTCACACTCCCCACTCCCACAAGCACCACACACACACACACACACACACACACACACACACACACACACACACACACTCAAGCTCCAGTAAGTAAACTCAGGGGTTCCCAAGCTGGACTCGGTGGGGTCATTCCTCCAGTCTCTGATTGGTGGGGGATCCTGAGTGAACTCGAGTTTGTTCCATTCTTCCCTGGGGCAGGTGAAACAAGCCAGGTATTTATGTCCTCCAACAGGCAGTCTGGGGAAGAAAATGCCTGGAGGAGGAGTGAGTCATCCACCAAGCGTGAGGTCTTAGTTTTTCTTGCAAATGAGTTTCCAGAGAGGTGCCCTCTGCAGAGCTGAGAAAACATGTTTCCCAGCATCGCACAGAGCAAGCCGAGGGGCAGTTGCAGGGAAGGTGTGTGTGTGTGTGTGTGTGTGTGGTGTAGTGTGTGTTTGTGTGTGTGTGTGTGTGTGTGGTGTGTGTGTGGTGTGTGTTTGTGTGTGTGTGTGTAGTGTGGTGTGGTGTGTGTTTGTGTGTGTGTGTGTAGTGTGGTGTGGTGTGGTGTGTGTTTGTGTGTGTGTGTAGTGTGTGTTTGTGTGTGTGTGTGTGTGGTGTAGTGTGTGTTTGTGTGTGTGTGTGTGTGTGGTGTAGTGTGTGTGTGTGTGTGTGTGTGGTGTAGTGTGTGTTTGTGTGTGTGTGTGTAGTGTGGTGTGGTGTGTGTTTGTGTGTGTGTGTGTAGTGTGGTGTGGTGTGGTGTGTGTTTGTGTGTGTGTGTAGTGTGGTGTGGTGTGGTGTGTGTTTGTGTGTGTGTGTGTAGTGTGGTGTGGTGTGGTGTGTGTTTGTGTGTGTGTGTAGTGTGGTGTGGTGTGTGTGTGTGTGTGTGTGTGGTGTAGTGTGTGTTTGTGTGTGTGTGTGTAGTGTGGTGTGGTGTGTGTTTGTGTGTGTGTGTGTAGTGTGGTGTGGTGTGTGTTTGTGTGTGTGTGTAGTGTGGTGTGGTGTGGTGTGTGTTTGTGTGTGTGTGGTGTGGTGTGGTGTGGTGTGTGTTTGTGTGTGTGTGAGTAGTGTGGTGTGGTGTGGTGTGTGTTTGTGTGTGTGTGTAGTGTGGTGTGGTGTGGTGTGTGTTTGTGTGTGTGTAGTGTGGTGTGGTGTGGTGTGTGTTTGTGTGTGTGTGAGTAGTGTGGTGTGGTGTGGTGTGTGTTTGTGTGTGTGTGTAGTGTGGTGTGGTGTGTGTTTGTGTGTGTGTGTAGTGTGGTGTGGTGTGTGTTTGTGTGTGTGTGAGTAGTGTGGTGTGGTGTGGTGTGGTGTGTGTGTGTTGGGGGAGCTCCGTGAGCATGGTTGACCTTCATCGTCTAAAGGCCATGACGTCATCTACACAGTGCATCCCTAGACCCCCTGAGCCGCCCAGCATGGGCAAGCCATTCTCCAGAAGGGGGCAGCCCTCTGTTCTCCTAGCCTCCCCTGCCCGCTGTCTCATCACACGCTGGCCCTCCTTAGTTCTGATGCTCCTTTACTTTACCAATCTGTCAAAAAAGTTTGTTCCAAATGTGAATGACCGTGATGATTAGCAGGGACCTAGACTTTGCTTTGTAAATATTAATAGTCACTGTTAAAAAAAGAAACTTCTGTTGTTGATCTTTCACAGCGGCCGTGTATCTTGTGTTGTCTGTATCTGTGCTGCTTCACCCTGAAATCTGGAACTGGAACCCTACAGGGCAAGTCTACAGACTTTACGCAGACTTCCCAGCTTTGTATGCGTATGAGTTTACTGGAAGAGTCTTCTCGTATTGAACAGTTTGTGCAATGGGCACGGCATAATTCCTAGGTAACAAAATAAATATATACTTAAAATATATAAAACATATCTCCTGTCTCTCTTTCCTTCCCTTTCTCTTTCTCCTTTCCTTTCTCTCCCCTCCCTTCCTCCCTCTGATCCTCCCCCCTTGTTCTGCATAAAGCACCCTCTCTTGAGCTCCTGCCCTCTGTTTCTAGGTACTTTTGAATAGACTTGGCGACAGACTTCAAACTCCTGTTAAGCTCAGGTGAGTGATTTGCATATCAGGGCAACCTGAGACAGGAGTTTCCACTCCGTGCCACCAGCCAGGAGGAGGAAAGGCCACCTTAGGGGATCCATTGGTACTTACAAATAAATGTACCAAGGTGAGGGGCAATAAGCGGACAGAGCAGGGCTGCCCCAGGTCTGAACCCCAGAACTGCCTGAACCAGGCATGGTGGTGTACACTTGATCCCCTGCATTCAGGGCAGGAGGTGGAGAGATCAGAAGCTCAAGGTTATCCTTAGCTGCATGGCAAATTTGAGGCCAGCCTGGTCCTGAGGGGCCCTGCTGTTGTTGCTTTCAAAGATACAAACTTGTGTGATTTGGTTCCATATTCCCACATTGCCAGCACGCGCGTTTGTGGATGTTCAGTGAGTCGTTTTTCCGTCTCCCAGTTTGTTAGTAACAGAATCCTGCTCCTCTCTCTCCAGAATCCTGGGGGCTGCCTTTCTGGCACATTCCTATATGGAAACAGCAGAGTACAGAATTAGGACTTACTTTGATGTTGAACTTGATCACCATAAACTCCCCCCTTATCCTTCCTGGTTTGGGTGTGAGCCTTCCAGCCTCTGCCAGGATCCACTGTACAGCCGGCACCTCACCCCCTCTATCCGTGCTGTGTGGGCTGCTGCCCATAACTGTGGCATCAACAACGCATTACCCCTGGTTTCCACCTCCTGCCCAGACCCCTCTCCTAAGCCCCAGATCTCTCTTTCCAGCTGCCACCTGGACAAATCTGCCCGGAAACCGTATAGGAGCCACACACTCCACATGGCCATGCCAGAGGCCACCCAGCAAACTCCCTTTTCACAGTTGTGGACAGCTGAGAACACCTCAGCCACAAGCAAGCAGTTTATCTTGGATGTATGTTTTTTTAGAGTATTAAATTAAGTGGGGGTGGGGAGAGAGATGGCTCAGTGGTTAGGAGCACCTCCTGTTCTTGCAAAGAGAACCTGGGTTCAGTTCCCACGTGGTCCCTCATAACGATCTGTAACTCCAGTTCCAGGGGATTCCATGCCTCTTCTGACCTCCGAGGGCTTCTCCATGCACGTGGTGCACAGACATACACTCAGGTGCACACACTCACACACGTGACACTAAATAACATCTAAACAGTATTAAGTATTCAAAGTCTAAGATGCCTCAGCTCCTTAGGAAAAGGTTGCACTTGGGCCAGTGGCTTTGAGGGAGAGAGCTAAGCAGCTGGGGATCAGGTGGGCACATTTCCTTTCCACTGTGTTCTTTTGGTAACTTTTAAGCTTTATACACATGTGTACTTAAAGAATAATAATTAAAAGCAATGATGAGTTGAAATTAATTTTTTGTGTATGAATGTATGGGCATATATGTGTGTGTGCAGGTTTGTGCCTGTGTGTGTGCATGTGTATGTATGTGTGTGTAAGTATGTGTGTGTACATGCAGAGGCCACAGGACACCTTTCAGGAGTTGGGTCCTCTCCCTCTACCAAGTGAATCCTGATGATGCACTCTGGAGGTCAGGCATGATGGCAAGTGCTGTCACCTGCTAGACCATCTCATTGGCCCTGAAAAATTTAATACTTATGCTAAACACTTGAGTATTCAGCCATACAGGAAGTGTCTGTCCCTTTCAGGAGACCATTATTTATTGACAGGCACTTCTAAATAAGTCCACTCAGATACCGTGGGATTGCTTCAAGTTCAAGGACTTCTAAATAAGCTTCCTGAATACACACCCACAGAATGTGTGTATCATGTGTGTGTGTACCTGGGGTGGGGTTGCACCATGTAACTCCATGGTCCTAAGTACCACCAAGTTCAAGGTTAACATGTATCAACCCAGTATCTACTGATTCAGTGAAAGTCCCACCTCTCCCTCTCCCTCCCTCCCTCCCTCCCTCCCTCCCTCTCTCTCCCTCTCTCTCTCCCTCCCTCCCTCCCTCTCTCTCCCTCTCTCTCTCCCTCTCTCTCCCAGGAATTTCCAAGACCGTTTCATGTGACAGGTGGACACACTGTGCAAGATGACTCAGCCACAACAGATGTGGGTGTGAGAGTCCAGGGTGGCGTTCTGGTGAAAGGTTCATTCTCTGGGGATGACTTTAGCCACAAAGGATGCTTGCCGCGTGAGGCCACCTCATCCTACACCCATGATCTGCACACGTGTATGCATGTATAGACATACTAAGCATGCCACACTCCAGTCATTAGCTTTCATGGGGCTGGGATGTAGCTCATGTGGTGAAGTATTTGCTCCACACATACAAAACCCTGGCTTTGATTCCTAAATGATGTGGTGGTAAACATCTGTAACCATAGCACCTGTGTAGGGAGCAGAGGCAGGAGGACCAGAAGCGCAAGGCCGTCTGTCCGTGGCTGCGTAGTGAGTTCAAGGCCAGAAAATGAAGGTCTGACAGATATGACTGCTACACACATCTCTGGGAAGAGCTCCCTTTCCCAAGGCACAGGAATTCTAGAGTGGCCGAACGTGAACAATAATGGGTTATACCTTAAAGATGCTCCGCTGATCGCTGATGACTCTGCGTATATAGGAATCAGAACTTGGGCTGTGAGTGTAGTTCAATAGTGAAACCCATGCCCAGCGTGCTGAATCTTAGCTTGGGTTTAATCTCCAGGGTTCCCGAGTCAGGGAATAAAGGACGACCCAACCCACTTTATAACCACCAAGCTAAAAACAGCAGGATTTACACGTACAGAATCTAATTCTGAAGATGCGGTTTTCATGAGTTACGAGAAGAAGGGAGGATGGAGACAGACGAGGGCACCGATCTCTGAATACTTGGGGAAAAGCACTTTGAAGCAAGGTAGGCACGTGGCTTCCGGAGGACTGAAACAGAAGATTTTTAGCCAAGGACACCAAGGTGACGGTATGGAGGTAAGAACGACCGAGGTGAGGATGCCATGGGGAGCTCAGAGGACTCCGTGCCTGTTCAGCCAAGGTAATGGTACAGATAAGCAGTTTGTACAAGGCCTTATCTGTTAGGGAAGTATGAGGAGCGGTTATTTGTTGCTAGGTAACAGACCTACCATGAGCGTTGTGGCTACTTGTGTGCATGTCCACAGTCTAATCCTGTGTTTATGCATGGCTGAGACACCGAAGAGCTAACACAAAGCAGCCACACTCTAAATCATGGTAAGCATAACTGCAGGGAAAGTTTAATATCGGAGGCTGGGGATGCATTACTGCTCCGTTAGTAGAATGCTCCCCTAACATGCACCAAGTCCTGGGTCTGAGTCCTTGAACTGCACTAAACCAGGAATAGTGGACACACCTGCAACTCCAGCCTCGGGAAGAGGAGGCAGCAGGATCACACGTTCAAGCTCCAAGTCATCTCTAGCTGCATAGTGAGTCTGAGGACAGCCTGGGCTTCAGGAGACACTGTATGGGATGAGGGAGGTCTACTGGTACTCGAAACACAAAACTCCTGAGACAAAGTTAGTCAAACTTACTGTAACTTACTAAAACCGGTATCGTAGGTCTGTGAGTTGAAGGGTAGCCCCACATGAAGAAATTACCAGGAAATGGTGACATTTAGCTAGTTAACAAAGACAGCAGCTCAATAGGCTCAATTCCTAGAAAAGCCATTTTAACCAAAGCTAAAGTCTCTTGTTTGTTGTTAGCAGGGGAGGAGGTGGCTGAGTGCTGGCCCTGGGCTCATCCCCATCACCAAAGCCCCTGTTGAACACCCTCTCTGCGTGGCAGTTAGCTGCAGAGGTGAATGAACATTGATGCAAAAATACTCAATAAAATACTGGCAAATCCAATCCAAGAACACATCAAAACAATCATTCACCACGATCAAGTAGGTTTCATCCCAGGGATGCAGGGATGGTTCAACATACGAAAATCCATCAACGTAATCCACCATATAAACAAGCTGAAAAACAAAAATCACATGATCATCTCACTAGATGCTGAAAAAGCCTTTGACAAAATCCAACACCCCTTCATGATAAAGGTCTTGGAGAGATCTGGGATAACAGGGACATACTTAAACATAATAAAAGCTATATACAGTAAACCAACAGCCAACATCAAACTAAATGCACAGAAACTCAACGCAATTCCTCTAAAATCAGGAACAAAACAAGGCTGTCCACTCTCTCCATACCTTTTCAACATGGTACTTGAAGTTCTAGCTATTGCCATACTACAACAAAGGGGGATCAAAGGGATACAAATTGGGAAGGAAGAGGTCAAACTTTCACTGTTTGCAGATGATATGATAGTTTACATCAATGACCCAAAGAACTCTACCAGGGAACTCTTACAGCTGATTAACACCTTCAGCAAAGTGGCAGGCTACAAGATCAACTCAAGAAAATCAGTAGCCCTACTATATACAGATGATAAAATGGCTGAAAAAGAAATCAGAGAAACATCACCCTTTACAATTGCCACGAACAACATAAAATACCTTGGGGTAACGCTAACTAAACAAGTGAAAGACCTGTATCGTAAGAACTTTGAATCTTTAAAGAAAGAAATTAAAGAAGCCCTCAGAAAATGGAAAGATCTCCCATGCTCTTGGATAGGTAGGATCAATGTAGTAAAAATGGCAATCCTGCCAAAAGCAATCTACAGATTCAATGCAATCCCCATTAAAATCCCAGCACAATTCTTCACAGACCTTGAAAGAACAATAATCAATTTTGTATGGAAAAACAAAAGACCCAGGATAGCCAAAACAACCCTGTTCAACAAGGCAACGTCCGGAGGCATCACCATCCCGGACTTCAAGCTCTATTATAGAGCTATAGTTCTGAAAACAGCTTGGTATTGGCACAAAAATAGACAGGTAGACCAATGGAATCGAATTGAAAATCTGGGTATTAACCCACACACGTATGAACATCTGATCTTTGACAAAGAAGCTAAAAATATACAATGGAATAAAGACAGCATCTTCAACAAATGGTGCTGGCATAATTGGAGACTGGCATGTAGAAGAATGCAGATCGATCCATGTTTATCGCCATGCACAAAACTTAAGTCCTCAACATAAATCTAGCCACACTGAACCTCTTAGAAGAGAAAGTGGGTGGTACCCTTGAACGAATTGGTACAGGATACAGCTTCCTGAACATAACACCAGTAGCACAGACAGTGAGATCAACAATTAATAAATGGGACCTACTGAAACTGAGAAGCTTCTGTAAGGCAAAGGACACAGTCAGCAAGACAAAAAGGCAGCCCACAGAATGGGAAAAAATATTCACTAATCCCACATCTGACAGAGGGTTGATCTCCAAAATTTACAAAGAACTCAAGAAGCAAGTCTCCAAAACACCAAAGGACCCTATTAAAAAGTGGGCTGCAGAACTAAATAGAGAGTTTTCAATAGAGGAGTCTAAAATGGCTGAGAGGCACTTGAGAAAGTGCTCAACATCCTTAGCCATCCGGGAAATGCAAATCAAAACAACTCTCAGATACCATCTCACTCCTGTCAGAATGGCTAAAATCAAAAACATCAATGACAATTTATGCTGGAGAGGATGTGGTGAAAGGGGGACACTCCTCCATTGCTGGTGGGAATGCCAACTGATTCAGCCACTTTGGAAATCAGTATGGAGATTCCTCAGAAAAATGGGAATAAACCTACCACAAGACCCAGCAACTCCACTCTTAGGCATATATCCAAAAGATGCCCATTCATACAACAAAGATGTCTGTTCCACTATGTTCATAGCAGCTTTATTTGTAATTGCCAGAACTTGGAAGCAACCTAGATGTCCCTCACCTGAAGAGTGGATAGAGAAAATGTGGTACATCTACACAATGGAGTACTATTCAGCAGAAAAAAATAATGGAATCATGAGATTCGCAGGCAAATGGATGACACTAGAAGAAACCATCCTGAGTGAGGTAACCCAGTCACAAAAAGAGAAACATGGCATGTACTCTCTCATATATGGATTTTAGACATAGATCTGGGGAGTGCCAGCCTATAATCCTATGGCCAGAGAGCCTGGGAAACAGAAACTTTATTTAGTGGCTGATCGAAGAAGAGGCAGACTCCCTTGGTTAAGTACTGAGCTGAACTCAAGAAAGCCAGTAACAGAGAGGGAGGACTGATGATCAAAGGGATTAAGACTGGGCTGGTTTAACCCCCAGAAACAGCTGACCAGACAAAGGTTAACTCTTGAATCCCAGGCATCAGCCTGGGAAGCCAGCATGGGACTGATCAAGACCCCCTGAATCTGGGTGTCAGTGAAGAGGCCTAGGGAATCTATTGAGCCTTGGGCAGCAGATCAGTACCCATCCCAAGTATACACACGGACCTTGGACTCCCATAGAACAATGTGAGGTGCACTCTC